TAGACCTACGTTCTTTTAAGTGTATCTTTCTAAGTTATTCACATATCCAGAAAGGGTATCGATGCTACTCTCCAGACTTAGGTCACTTTATTATTTCAACTGATTTCATGTTTCATTAATCGGTTCCTTTCCTTCAGTACTGTAGTTTTATCCATCATTTATCACATCAAAAAAAATTTTCTCATCTATTTGATATATAGTTTACTGATCAATGCATTGCCTTTTGAGGCATGCCTAGAAACTCAATTTGATCATATGTAAACTAGAAAAACCTACGTAGATCCTTCTACATAAACTTTTCCTATTGAAATGGTTTCTCTGTTAATGGATCCACCTTGAGACACTATGGCTGAAGATGTACGAATTGCTTTATGAAAGGTACATAAACTTGTAAAAATTTTCTTTTATACATTCCCTCGTATAAAAGACTTTCTACTCAACTTCATATTTATATCGCCACAATTGATGCTATTATTGTGTTGTGTACTCCTCTTGATACTTTTACAGATTTATGATGGTGTAAGGCTATGGAGGATGAGATGATGGCCCTAGAGGCCAACCATATATAGGATTTGGTTTCCTTATTAGAAAGGAAACAAGCTATTGGGTGCAAGTAGGTTTACACTACAAAATTGAATCCTAATGTTTCATTGGCTAGATTAAAGGCAAGACTAATAGCAGAGGGATATGCGCAGACATATAGAGTAGATTATTTTGATACTCTTTCACCAGTGGCAAAGATGACATCTATTTGCTTATTTCTCAAATTTGCTACTACACATAAATGGATATAATATCAGTTGGATATAAAGAATGCTTTCCTACATGGTGACTTAACTGAGAAGGTATATATAGAGCAACCACTTCAAGGGGAGTCTGGGAAAGTGTGCCGTTTGTGTAGGTCTCTGTATGGTCTGAAGCAATCTTTTGTATGTAGATAATAACATTATCACTGGCAGTGATACTGCAAGGATTGATAGACTTAAGATGTATCTTAAGTCCCAGTTTGAGACCAAGGATCTTTGTGTTGGTCAATTGAAATATGTTTTTAGTATTGAAGTAGCAAGGTGTAAAAAGAGAATTTGTGTATCTCAGAAGAAGTATGTGTTGGATTTTTTAAGAGATGCAGGCTTATTCTATGCCAAGCCAAATGACACACTGATGGATCCAGGCAAGTATCAAGCCTTTTCCAGAATATGGCACTTTACCTGTTGATCCCACACCTTATAAAAGATTAGTGGAAAAATTAAATTATTTGATCATGACGAAACCTGATATATCTTTTTAAGTGAATGTGGTTAGTCAATTCATAACAGCTCCGAGCAATACTCATTGAAGAGTAGCGATATGCATCCTTCGATATTTGTTGAAAAATCCTAAAAAGGGAATTCGAGTTCCAATGATGTGGGTATTCGAGCCTATGTAGGTACAGATTGGGCAGGCTCACCTATAAATAGGAAGTCAACATTTGGTTATGCTATCTTTCTTAGCGGTAATATGGTGTCTTGGAATAGCAAGAAACAGTAAGTACTTGCTAGGTCTAGCACAGAAGTAGAGTATAAAGCCATGGCTTTGGCCACAATAGAGGTATTATGAATGGCTCAATTCTTAGATAAAATTGAGCTTTTAGTTCAAACCCTTACAGAGTTATGGTATGATAATTAAACGGTGATTCATATTGCTTCCAATCTAATATTTCATGAAAGAACCAATCATATAAAAGTTGATTATCATTTCATTAGAGAAAAGTTGTAAAGTGGAACAATATTATTGAAGCATGTGCGCATAGGGGAACAACTAGTCGATATTCTTACGAAATCAGCTCCAAGAGTTTGAGTTGACTATATATGTAACAAGCTAACCATGATTGATATATATATGCTTTAGCTTGAAGAAAAGTATTAATGTATGTATATGTGTGAGTTAGAATATTATAAGAATATTTTATGGGAGACAGTTTAAGAGGGATTAATTGAGAGTATTAATGTATAATTTGTAATTTGTAATTGATTCTCTTTTCTTATTGTTGTCTATATAATAAAAGGTTAATCTAAGGGATTAATAAATTATTCTTTAAAGTCTTAATTTTAACAATTAATATATATATATGTAAATATATTCTTTTTTTTTTTTTAATTTTACGGGAGAGAAGAAATCTGATATATATTGTGAGTGGAGAGGAAAATCATTATAATTAAAGTGTTTGCTTTCAATCATGATTCGAGCATAATCTAATTAAGTAATTAAAAATTATATTGATTAAGGCTTCATCTATAAATGTTTTTAATTTTATATTAGTTATTAGTTTTAGTATCTTATTAAAATTTTATTTTTTTTCTTTTTCCTTTCCATTCCTTTTTGCAAAAAAATTACCGAAACGGGTTTTTTTTTTGTTTTTAATAATTGGAGATAAACTTTTAATAATTTCAAAACAATTGGAGATAAACTTTAAAACCCGCAAGTTAAAAATTTGAGGTTCAAAAAATCAAACCCCATATGTGTAGACTGAATAAGTGCATATAAACCCTCCCATAAGAATATATATTTTATCAATTAATTTTGAACATCAATTAAAATATTTTAATTATATTTTTGAAATATAAATTACTTATATTTAGTATTATTTTGTTAGAATTTATAATCATAAATGCTCTCTAACTTTCCAAATTAAAATTTTCTTTCCTTTTTCTTTTTTGAAAGGTGTACTGCCAATCTGTTTCAAATTTTCAAAACTTTAGTTTGAACAAATCAGACTAGAAACAATAACAATGATGTAATAAAGTAAAGAACACTTTTTTTTTATATCTTTAGTTAGACTTTTTTTTGGACTATAAACAATTTTTTTAATCAACTACAATATCGGGGAACAAAAGATTCAACCTTCTCTCTAAGTGTGATTACAAGCAATTATACAAAGATGCTCATAATCGATTTGACCTGTTTCCTGTTTCCTAGAGCTTTACCAATTATTTTTAAGAGTAGTTAAAAAATTTTCAGGTCTTTGGATGGTCAAAGACTCAAGGTCTCCTTGACTATCTACAAAATAACTAGCAAAACCCAGTGACAGTAACCCATTGATGATTCCTTGACTAGATTTTTCATATAGTAAATAATTTATAGTTGAACCAATCAAACCAATCAAACCGAACCCAACGCGGAAATGGTATTACAAGGTGGGCCAAATTGGCCACCTTCGTCTGTTGCTTTCCTACCCCCAAAGTGTTATCAGATATATGGAACGATAGGAATTACTTAAAAACATTGATAAGCCAATAACAGGCCTTTTCAACTACGTAATGAGTCAAATTCAAGAACAGAAAATAAATGTCCGTACACAATGCAACTTGTTTTTGCTACAGAGGTCGACGAGAAAAAGGTTTTTTCAGTGGGTAGTGACGAAGAAACACGGACTCTAGAGAGACTTGGTAGTTTTGACTGATTCAATCCAATACCCCAAAATTCTTGGCGTTCAAATAAAAGTTGAGCAGACGGGGGAAACAAAACAAGGAAAAAACAAGACTTGGATTTCAACAAGGCTTCCTTTGTATTCATTCGTGCAATTGTAATTAAATTTCGTGTTTAGTGATTGTTTAAGATCCAAATGAATTTTTGGTACGGTGAGTTTGTTGGCGATTGGTTACCGTCCGATAGTCAATGGCATCGTAATTTTTTTGTTTTTTTAATTTTTACTCTTAAAATTTAATGTTAATTCAAAAAATTGTCTTAATTCTTTTTTTAATTCATTTTGATTTTTATTAATAAAACATTAATAAATAAATTTTTTATTTTTATTAATTTTTAATAATTTATTAACAAAATTATTATTTAAAATAATTTAATAAGTATTTATTAATTTTATAAACATTCAGTTAAAATTTTTATATATAATTTTTATTTTAATAATGTCTGCAATAATTATTTATTATTTTTATTATAATTTATTTTATTATTACTATTATTTTTTATTCAAACACATGTATCATCATTAAATTTAATTTTATTATTATAATAATTAATTATATTTTTATTATAATTTAAATTTTATCAAAATTAATTTTATCATCCACCTAAATAAACTCTAGTTAGAAATCGGGGTTCGAAGATTGTGAAATTAAAGGGAAAAAAAAAGCATAAAAAAAAACACTGTTTTAGCATTCCCACACTGTATTTCACAAAAGTCTATCCACAGCTCGCCGTACCTGTTCCAAACACATAAGAGGCAAATGCAGTCTTAGTTTTTTTTTTTTTTTTTCCCATTTTTATCTCTCGGTATATAGTAAAGAAGACTGAATTGGCGTGCCAGTGGTTGAATTATCGCCAAAAAATAAAACTAAGACCTCTCCATAGATATCCATTCCTCTTATCAATATTTTTTATTTGTTTATGATGAAGTTATGTTTTATAATTGAAATATGGTAATTGGAATTAAAAAAAAAAAAAAAATTTATCCATATGTGACACTGAATGTTGGTCATTATACTATACAAGATTCCTTTTGAATAGCCGTAGTTTATTATTAGGATTTTGATTCTTACTTTTTACTATTTCGTGGTATTGAGAGCGATGTAGCACGCATCAATCTGAACTAGGAAAAACCTTTCCCACCCTTAAATTCCCAAAACCACAAAGCTAGAATGAAAATGAGAATAAAATCTTACGTGGCAGTAAAACCTCAATCGTAGACCATGAAAATTGTGTTTTCTTTTTCTCTCTCTCCTTTCACACGCGAGAATAAAAAAATCATAATTTCCGTTTCGATGAGACCAAGCGCGTCCCAATGAAGCTGCTTGGAAATGTCCCTAAATCTCTACTATCTCCCTCAAATACCCATTTCTCTCGTCTCCAATTTTATCCTTAAAACCCTACCTACCAACCCAAAACAAGTTAACAGATTAACTGAAACTATTCCAACGTTGGCAGTACCAAAACCAACAACAATAACCAAAAAAAAAAAAAAGATCGGAAGAGGAGAGTAGGTTCACGCCAGGATTGTGGCGTCCATGGCGTGGCTCACTGCAGGGGTGGGTAAAGCTGGCTCTGTTTCCAACAAGTGCAAGATTTTCATCCAGGAAAAGTATTCTTCTCCCACGCTTCAAATCTTAGCCTTCGAGACAACCAAAGTCATGTCGCGTCTTGTCGCCCTGTATAAGTCTCTCTCTGATGATGAATTCTTCAAACTCCGGAACGGTCCCATGAAATCCCCTGGCGTTGCGTTTTTGAACTCCACAGATGAAAGCTATCTTCTTGGCCTGGCGTGTAAAGAGAAGCTCGAGGATCTCAATCTGGCTGCCACCATAATTTCACGTTTGGGTAAAAAATGCATCGATGAAGAGCTTAACAGGTTTGAAATCGCTTACCAGAACATGAAACAGGGAATTTTTTATGACTGCAACCTTGAATTTAACTCCAGAAATGTTGGAAAAATCATCGAGAAGATGGAGAAATACACGAGCTCGACATCTATTCTGTACGCCTCTTTGTTAGACCTCAACGAATTAGAAATATCAGAGAAAAAAATGCAAAAATGGAAGAGAAACGGCTGCCCCAAAAAATCATCAGAAATGACCAACATTGACTACTTGAACGAGAAAATCTCTTTCCAAAGAAAACAGGTGCGACATTTCAGACAGATTTCCCTTTGGAGCCAAACATTTGATAAGAGCGTTGGGTTAATGGCTCGAATCGTCTGCGTCATTTACGCCAGAATATGCACCATTTTTGGACCCTTTGTTCCAAGCCTTCCTTGCACCACCAAGAACAGACATTCCAACAGGCGCCTCTATATTTCGAGCCCAAAAGCTTTACACTTGAAGGTTTATCCAGAGGCCGATTATTGCCTCCTTGTGGATAAAGAGAAGTACTTGCAACAGGCCTCGAAATCGGGTCCAATCATGAATGCTTCCAGGATCAAACGAGGTCCCACCCGTTTCCACAGCGGAGAACTATCACCTGATCTTAAAGCCTTAGGTTTCCAAATTTCAGCTGTTACCATAACCGATAAAATCTCCACCAAAAACAACATTGAGGGAAATGCTAGAAGAAACCAAAGGCTGATACAATCGGCTCCAAAGAACACTGTAGGAGCAGCAGGGCTTGCCGTTCGTTACGCAAACCTAATCATCATGGCGGAGACCTACTTCTACTCAACAACAATCATCACCGACGACGCTCGGGAGCACATGTTCGAGATGTTACCAATAAGCCTGAGACACACACTGAGAGCGAAGCTTAAAAGCCATTGGTGCAAAGATGCTGAAGAATGTGAAGGGCAACAGGGTTTGGCGGAAGGGTGGAAAGAGGCTTTGGAGGAGATAATAGGGTGGCTGGCTCCGGTGGCGCATGATACGTTGAGATGGCAGCAAGAGAGGAACTTGGAGCAACAAAAATTAGATGCAAAGCAGACAATTTTATTGTTGCAAACATTGCATTTCTCGGACTTGGAGAAAACGGAGGCTGCAATTGTGGAGGTTTTGGTAGGATTGAGTTGTATATATAGGTACGAGAATCGGCGGGAGAAGGATAGTGTTGGCTATAATGAATCCAACGTTGGTAGACGACCATGATGTATGGACTTACCTTGGAGTAAGCTGCGATTGTTTGCTTCAGATTAGGTTTTTTCTGTTTCTTTTTTTGGTTTAGACTAATATAATACTTCATTTGTTGATTCTTTTATGTTCTTGTTCAAGCCCTTCTTGAAGAAGGGGGGAAAGGAGGAAGTGAATGACAGATTCGTGCTGTGATTGTTGGGGAAGAATAATTGGGGCTTAATTGAACCTGTAATCAAGACTAATAAACTTCTGTTTTTTCAGCTTTTTGCTAAGAATTTAAACGTTTCATGGAAAGATAAAAAGAGGAGGGCTTTTATGTGGCTGTGTGGTTAATGGATTCCATTTCCTTTAGAAAAGATGAGGTACAATATTTTGCTTCTAGGATAGGAAAACAGGCGACGGAAATATTTAACTGACATGACGTTCTTATCAGAAAACATTAATTACTATTCTTTTTAATAAATGAAACCTGGAGATAAATTGGTTGTTTAGTGTCTCACATAAGCACTAAGCATCGTATACCTTGTAACATTGTTATAATTAAATTATACACTAAAGATTAACACCAACAAAATGAAATCAAACACAAAAGACAGAATGAAATCATGAACTTATGCTAACAAGTGTGTGGTACGTTAATATAACATTGAATTCTTAATTTCAATATGATAAATTCAATCATTAATTGTCTCGAATAAAAAAAAATCATGGATTTATCAATAAACGAATTTATTTTGTAGATCTGACAATTCATGTTATCATGTCATGTAAAATATTATATTCGTATCATATTTTACATAAAAATCACAATCATAATTTGTGTCAACACGAAAATATAAAATATAATTTTTTATTTTATTAAACTTATTATATGATTTTTTTTAATTTTAAGTCGAATTATCTCCGTATCTTTTATTTATATCGTTTGCATATCGTGTCACGTATTATGTTTTAAATTGTCAGGTCTATCATTTTTAGCAACATGACGCTCTGTAGGTGCTTACCTCCATATGGATATAAGAAATTAAAAATGTAATTGAGTCGAATTGATATAATAAAAAATTTGAATTGGATTCAAAATTATTATTTGAAACTCGGCTCGAACTTGATAAAATTTTAATTTTTGAGTTCAAGTTTAATTCAAGATAGATATTAAGCTACTCGAACTCTCTTAATTAAGCTCATTTACTAAATAAAAAGCAAGTTCGACTTCAAGTTTGATTATCAATGTTCGAATTAAAATTCAAATGCAAATTGTTATATACAAAAGTAAAATAATAGTTTTTTTAATTAAATAATAAAAATATATATTAAAATATAAAAATTTGATTAGACTTGCTAATTACTTGAGTTGAGTATTAAGATGCTTGAATTTGGTTCACTCGATAAATCAAATTACTCAAACTTAAATTAATTTAATAATAATTAATTTAAATTTAAATTTTATTTGAATCGAATTCAAATAATTTATAAACATGGATGTTTCACTTTTTCCCCTATATTAAACCTAAGTCCACCCTGGTTTGGCAGCAAAATAAATTGGCAACTAGTTTTGGGTCTGAAACTGTCCCATTGAACTAAGGCTCATATTTCGTGGGCTAAGTTTCCTTCATTTAACGCTAAAAATTTCGGAACAAGTCTAGGATGGAAGTCAATTATACGCACGAAACATCCAAAGGCCCAGAAAAGTAGCTCGAGCATGATTTTGAAAGCATGAACTAGTATTTATTGGTACTAGTCATTCACGCACTTTATTGAATCTAATTTTTTTATTTTTATAATTAATAATTTTTATGATGAATTTAGTAAATTACAGCAAAATTTTAATAAATAATTTATGGATAATGTAGCATTTCATTTTTATGTGTTATATAACAAATCAAATATAAATTCATTTTATCAAATTTATCTTAAATTCATTTTATCAATTTTATCTTTCCAAATATAATTAAAAAATAAAAAATCAAGCAAAAAAAAAAAAAAGGAAAGGAGTCAAATAGGTGTCACGTGATACCTTCAACTGAAAATGACAATGGATTGAATACCGGTGGAATTATACTCGTCCTGACTAGGGACGGCGAACTAACCCGTTTCCTACGGGTTTCGGCCCAATCCGACCCCATGGGATCGATTTTTTTTTTGAAATTCGAGTATCGGATCAGGATCGGGTCGGGTAAAATAAGGAAACAATCAGGATTGGGTTTGCCTAAAACCCGACCCGACCCAATATTATATAAAAAATTATTTTTTAATTAATTATTTAATTTTTTATTATATATATTTATTTAATGATATTTTTAAATATTTATATTTAAAAAATAATATTTTATATTAAAAAATAATATTTTATTAATTTCGAGTCGGATCGGATCGGATACGGTTTACATGATGTCGGATTCGGGTATGAAAAACCAAAAAAATTTTCGGGTAGGGTCGGATTCGGGTTTAATAAAGATTAAATCGGGTCGGGTTTGAGGCGAGCAAAACCCGTCCCGAACCCGACCCAATGCCAACCCTAGTCCTAATTCCGTCCTAGTAGCAGGCTATTATTTTTTATACCTGAGCTTGACCTAATATAAATACATAATCCGACTCAATTTGACCAAAAATCAATTCAATAATATAATATTCATTGAAATATTATTTTTAATATAAATTATATTTTAATTATATGAATATATTATTTTATTAAATTAAATTATTAAATATTAATTTTATTAATATAATACATATATAAATTTAAAATTAAATAAATAATAAAAAAATATAATCTTTATATATATATATATATATATATATATATATATCTTAGAATGGGGTGGAGCATCCTAAATCTACATCCAATCCATTCTTGATTTTTAAAAAAGAAAAATCGTTCTATCCTGAATCAATTCCAATTAAAAATAAAATCCATTCCTATTATATCGATGGGTCGAAACTTGTCAAATATTTTGCTATCTCTACTTCTACTTATCCTAATTTTTTTAAAAAAATTATTTTATTGAAAAAAAATAGTAAAAATAAAAATAAAGAAAAGAAAGGGGTTCGAAAGTCTATTTTCTATCTAAAAATCTATTTTGAATATATTTTTTGTTAAAAATTTAAAATTTATATAAATAAAAATATTATTTTCAATAAGTCGATTTCTTTTTCTTACCATATTAAAGGTGGTAAGAGCCATTTTGATTGTCTATTTCTTAATTTTTTATTAATATAAAATTTTAATAAAGAATAGATTTAAAATAAATTTTTCAATCGAAAAAATATTATGAATAAATTAATAAATTAGTTTGTTAAAATGATTTGAAATTTTTACTTAATATTTTAAAAAGATATAAAGTTTCTTTTTTAATTTTTAAATTCTCATAAAAATTTTTACTTAATCTTTTCAAATGATATGCAATTTTTTTAAAGGATTTTGAAAATTTTAATTTAATTTTAAAATTTTGAAATCTATTTTCTATTAAAATATTTAACAAATAAAATATATTATAATTAAAAACATAAAATATTATTTTAAATTTCATATTTTATAAAATACATCTTAAATATAAAAATATATGATATGGTAGCATTCTTGGTCCATAAACTTTAAACGAAATTCTATTTTCATTCGTTCATCTAGCACGTAAGATGCCCACTACTCCATTTATGTGCTATCCATACAACATCAGTTGGCATTTATAGTTAGTTTAAATGGTTCCATAGATAAAATAACCAAAATAAGATAACTTTAGACAATTAATGATTTATTTAGAATTTTTCAAAAATTAAAAACCAAAAATAAAATTTGGCTTAAAATTTAGAAACTATAGGTGTTATTTACCCATTTTCAAGGTTGTATAACATTTATTTTTTTTATAAATCATTAGTTTGATTTGTTTTAGTTCATCTTTAATTTGTGCACTACTAGAATAACAAAGCATCACAGACGAAATTTTACCGATGAATTTTTTCATGGTAATTACCAATAGATTACCGACTAAATATCGACAGAATGTAGTAGAAAAAAATTGACCATCACCCATGGAATAAGAATGAATTATCGATGGAATTCCTTCAGTAATCTGTAGGTAAAAATTAGCACCATTTGCTGCAAAAATTACCCAACAAAAATTCTGTCCGTAATCCATTAAAAAATCTGAATAAATTTCAAACATCCTTTTTAAAATCTTCCCAAATCCCTAATCCCTCTCTCATTTTCCCATTCTCCCTATCCCTCTCTCTCCACCGTAATAAGTCGTTAGTCAACCGATATTTCCCTCATTCGTCAATCATAATTTTTTTACTTAATTTTTCCTTTTTCAAGTTTTTTATTTTGTATTTTTGTTAAATTTATTGTTAAATTTTTTGTTATAGATTTGTTACGATTTGTTGGATTTTTTGTTATATTAAACTTGAAGTTTATGTTTGTTAGATTTTTGTTGTGTATTGTTAAATTTTTGTTAGGTTTTTTTTTTTTTTGTATTTGTTAAGTATTATTGAGATTTGTTAGGTTTATATATATATATATATATATATTTATTAATTTTTAGATGTGTAAGATTTATGTTATTTTTTGGTCAATTTGGGTTTCACGTGTATTAAAATTTATATATGTTCTTATGGATGTTTTATATTTAATATTTTCAAAATTTAATAATAATTATAGAAATTAAAAAATTTATGTTGATTTGATGTTATATTTGTGTTTTATGTGGAATAAGTTTCATATTTGTTTTGAAAAAAACTTTATATTTGATATTTTTAAAAATTTATTAATAATTATTGAAATATTATGGTATTATTGTATTGATAAAATATTGGTAAAATTTATAATATTAAATAGTATTATGACTTAATGTTATTGAAATTTTTTTTTTAATTTTAGTGTGCTGAATCAAAATATTTTATGAAAATTAAATGGTAGAAAAAATTAAATTACATTGTTATGATTTATGAGTCAATGTATAATAGTTATTGGGTTTTTTTTTTTTTTTTCAAAACCCTCAATATAAATTATTGATCAAACTTAA